CATAATCTCCTAAATTACAGTCCTATCAGATCACACTTCTTAAACTTCAACAATTTTGCAGACTTATATCTATGACGTTGATTATTCCAAGTCCTGCACAGATATTCTAGGCAAAAAATAAGGAAGTATGCTGCAGGAAGGGGATGTTGGCGTACAATTCAGGTGCTAACTTATTTCACCACAGTTTCTCTAAGTGGGCATGGGGACTTTTTAGTAGAAACTTTGACTACCAAGTTAATTTACTAATAAAAATTTCCGAAAACATCCTCAACTAATGTGCAATGGTAGTTACTGTTCTACATTTGTTTCATTTGGGTTTTTAGGTATTTTTTTAAAAGAGCTGTCACACATAAATTATACTTAAGAGTGAAAATAAACACTGAGAACTCTCACTGTCCCCAACCAATAATGAAGAGCAGGCTCTCAACTAATATGCTCTCTTTAGAGGTTTATATCTTTAATTATTTGTGACTTGAGATTCACAAAGAATCTCATGGGCTATATAGGCCCATCTGAACTGTCTAATGGAAATCAATTCTTTTAACTTCAGTCGTGTCTATTTGCCTATGTGCTCCACTTAAACAGTGCTGGCACACTCAGTTTATTCCTTCCTCTTCTTCTTCCTCCTCCTCCTCAATCAGCATTATTACCATTATGCTACATTATATCTTCATGTCACAGTAGATGCCATACCTTCAACTTCAGACCATGTTGCTGAAAAATCTAGATGACTGTTGCCCAAACCTTGTCAGTGGTAACTGCAGGGTAACTTCTCTGTTCAAAACCAAATACAACCTGTGGACCATTTACCATGGTACCACTGAAACATTCAGAGGCCACGGGCACAGCTCAGACTATTGGTGTAATGCATATTCCTCTCTTAATTTTTCACTATTATTCAGCTTACTTCCCCTTTCTTCTTTCAAGTCCAACATTTATATTATCCCATGCCCATAAGGATCTTCAAGTTCTCATTTAAGTCCTACACAGTAATGTACTGCAGTCGAGTTACAAGAGAATGACGACCCACAGGGGTTTTGTTCTTGAAGAACAGAGAGGCCCTAACCCCAAACCTACACACAACATGTGATTCACTGAGTAAAATTAAGAATTCATCCATCTCGAAGGTGTCAGAACAAGGCATTTCAGGTTTAAAGAACAAAGTACAAGATTAAATATAATTTAAAAAAAATAAATCTTGTCCACAAAACTCTCAGATCACCAGTATCTCAATGTGCATAAATGAAATCAAAATTTCATTAATCCAAGCTTATAATGTATGGGCTGGATAAGTGAACTGGATTGAAAGCTGGCTGAATGATCAGGCCTAGAGAGTGGTGATCAGTGGTGCAAAGTCTAGCTGTAGGATAGTAAGTAGCTGTGTAACCAGGGGTCAATACTGAGTCCAGTCCTGTTCAATTTCTTCATTAATGAGCTAGATGATGGGGATCAGTGCATTCTCAGCAAGCTTGTCAATGACAACAAACTGGTAGGAGTGGCTGATAGGCCATGGGGTTGTGCTGCCATCCAGAGGGACCTAGACAGGTCGAAGTAATGGAACTTCATGACGTTCAACAAGGGGAAATGCAAAGTCCTGCATCTGAGAAGAAACAACCACAGCCACCAGTACATACTGAAGGCTACCCAGCTAGAAAGTGACTTGGCATAAAGGGCCCTGGAGGTCCCCATGGATACTAAATTGAACATGATATAGCAATGTGCCCTTGCTGCAAAGGCTAATGGTATCCTCAGCTACATTAGTCAAAGTATTTCCAGCAGGTCAGAGGAGGTGATCCTTCCCCTCTACTCAGCACTAGTGAGGCCACAACTGGAGTACTGTGTCAAGTGCTGGGTTTCCCAGTACAAGAGACACATGGACATACTGGAGAGAGTCCAAGGAAGAGTTGCAAAGATGACGAAGGGACTGGAGCACCTCTCCTGTGAGGAAAGGCTAAGACAGTTGGGCCTGTTCAGCCTGGAGAAGAGAAAGCTCAGGGGGATCTCATCAGTGTATATAAATTCCTCAAGAGAGGGTACAAACTGGATGGAGCCAGGCTCTTTTCAGTGGTGCCCAGTTTCATGGCCAGAGGCAATGGGCACAAACTGAAACTGAACATCAGGAAACAATTTTTCACTGTGAAGGTGATTGAGCAGTGACACAGGTTGTCCAGAGAGGTTGTAGAGTCTCACATCCTTGGAGATATCCAAAAGCCACTTGGACATGGCCCTGGGCAACTGCCTGTAGATGGCTCTGCTTGAGCAGGAAAGGAGGGACTAGATGTAGCATAATAATGTAATTATTTTTGATGTTGTAACTGATACAATTTACAGAACAATTTTCCAAAATACATACCTCTAAATGCACTAATATCCCCATAGTGTACCTGGAGCACAAAATATCTGCCACCTGTTTCTCCTCCAACTCTGAATCCAACACCTAAGAGAAGGAAAAAGCATTGCTTTCACAAACAATAAAATGTAAGATGTTTCACCACTGTTGACCATACCTAAAAATACAATTCCTGTAATGGCTCAGAGTGAAGGTGTAGAAAATTTCACTGAGTGAAGAGAACACTGTCCTGAAAACTGGGGAAACCACTGTCACAGTAAAAATTCCCAAGCAGACTAAGACGATCATAACTTAGTTATTCCTGAACTTTCTCAATCCAAAAATATAAATACAGTTTTGATAGACATATAGCATCATACATATATAAAAAAACAAACATGTTTTGCAATCCTTGTAGAATTTGGTGTAACTTTCATTTCTTATGAATGCTGATACAAACTAACACTGACTTACAGAGAACACACTGAGAATGAAAAGATAAATAGATATGCAGTAAAATATTTTGAAATGTAAATTTTTATTGTATACAGAAAATAACTTATGGAAACTATGAAGCTATATTACTTGTTGACAGAAGTACACACAGGCACAGAAGAAAATGGAGGAGTCTGAAATTGACGATAACTTCCTCATGCAAATGGTG